AATGATCTCACTGAGGGGGTTCAGGCCTATGCAGAACAGCAGTGGGGACATTGCATGTCCTTGGTAGATCCCGCACTTGATGGTGACTTGTGCTATGGGTCTTGAAGATTCCATAGGTCCCTCATCCTATTAATGACTGTGCCACATTGCAACAATAATGTTGCAAATTCTGTTTATTCAAAGTGTCTTTACTGCCTTCTTCTTAAATGAGAAAAAACATCTGCTGTTACAGATGAGAAAGCACTTTATACAATGTTTTAACCTACACCTCGCACAATGTCTCAAGACATCTTACGATTGCTCACTTTGAGACCAAGAGTTTAATGAAATGAACCAAATTTATTCTATAATACTGTCTGGAACCTTTCAGAAGGTGAGTTGTGATATTAAAAAGTCCCTGCATGTTATAAATGAACTGTTCCTCATTTTAAAAAGAATTCGAATGTCCCTGTCTGGGACCCATTGAAGACTAATTGCTTGCAGCTTCAAAATGTAGTATGTTCTTATTTATAGTATGATATCATATAATATAGTATGTTATTCTTACATAATGTCTTTATGAATATTTATTGGTAGAATACATATTTTGGATCACAAAAACAAGTACTGAACACTTTGTACTATATCATCATTTAGTTATGATGATGCTCATTGTTACAGTCATTTTCATATACATTTCCTAAACATCATTTTGAATTTGTATTGGAAAGACTCATTTTGGAAAGCCTTATAAAAAAAACAAAAAAACACTTCACTTATATAGCACGCTTGACAATACTGCAGATAATGTTTACACATCTTCAGTATGCTAGCCTCACACTGAAACACAGTTTATATAATTGAACAGATACAAAATGAAACAGGTTCTAAAACATTAACGTCTAGTTATCAGGGAGAAGTCTATGGTTTCTTTGCATCAAAATTCAAACACTACTGAGGTAGAAAGAAAATCACCAGATTTAGACAGTTACATCTCTGACATGTATTGACAAAAAATACACTTCTGGAATTTTGTACATGCCATTTTTCAATAAAAATAACATTCAAAAAGTTTGTTTTGCTCTCATAAAGAAAACAAATCCTAAATGTC